CACAATGCTAACTTGCGATCAAGCCCCCATTATAAGCGTTTCGGTACCAGCGTTTCTACGCTCTCGGAAAAAGAGCGAGGCCTGGAGCAAGTCAGCAAGAGGTCGGTGAAGGGTCTAGCACTGATATTATAGAGGTTTAGCACCGCGTTCACGTCAAACGGCAAACATCAGCTTGCTATTTCACGTTTCACGTAAAATAGCGTGAACCTTGCTGTTTTAGCTTCGCGTGAGCTCACGTCATGGTGGATTTGAAGGCGCCTCTGTATGACTTACAAGGAATAGCTTTGGTGCCCCTATAAAGGTTTTGCACAGCAGCCATGTTGGATGGCAGGAACAATGAAAATATTTTGCATAAGAAATAATTTTTTTCTCATGGGAAAAATAATCTATTGTTCCTGCCATCCAACATGGCTGCTGTGCAAAACCGGGAATTAACTTCTACTCTGCGAGAGGAAGAATGAAGAAAACCTTACGTACACGGCAGAAGCGAAACAGGTTACTTTCAAGTAGAAACAACAAAGCGCAACCAACAAACGTGAAAGAATAGCGGGAAAAACAAGGTCACGAGGTCACTTTTGTCGTTCACGTTTCACGCAAACGCGGTGCTAAATCTCCGGCAAACCTCTTCCCGACTCGTCTAAAACCTTTCCGCGGGCAAAGAAACGATCTTGCAGCGGTAACTATATGGGCGTAAGCGTAGGCTATCACTAGGCAATAAAAGAAATGATAGCACGTGCACCGTAAGAATACAGCACATGACCCTGATAATACCACAATGAATCCTAACCTCCAAACCTATCAATCACACTTGAGAAAACACAAAAACAGAACACAAAGATATGGAATTGCATTTAAGCCTGGACTTCTGGATCCAGGATCCAGGATATCTAGGATCATGCCACCCGTCTTCAACAAGCCAAAGGACAAAATATAACATGTATTCAGACTTACCTGATTGTTTAATGAACACGTGAGGTGGATAAGAGAGATCCTGTGTGTAAGGGAACTTAATAAGAAGACTCAAGTCAGTGCACAGGTAACACGCTTGACCTCCATTTTCCCACCATTCAATAGCTCCGCAGCCTTCGTTGCAATAACTTTTACATTCGTCGACAGTCGTTCCTCGACTCATCAAAATTCTCCCCAGTGGGGTGCACCAATATGGGGTGTATTCCTTCCATTTTGTACCTGAAACTCATGGAAAGGTCCATTGAAGTTCACTATTCTATCTTAACTTAGTTAAATTTCTTAACTTTATTCGCTCAGGTTCGGTTGCCTTGGACACGAACTAGGATAGCTGGCTAAAGAACTTTTGCGTGATATCGAGGCTTACTGATACAACTTCTTTGAAAACGAATTTAACGTTATACTGCTACCAATGTTTTCCGGTTACAGGGTACGAAAGAAAACCTTCATTCATCTATATCAGGAAATAATTGTATTTTTTTGTAAATCAGTGTTAAAAATGCTTTTGCTTTTCTTTCCTTTGTCGAGGAAAGATTTTCTGTGGTGATTTGCTTTAGGTATGTAAAAGAGAAACCATCTCTTCGTAAGGGACGTTAAGCGAAAACCTCTACAGTTAAACCCTTTACAAAATCATTAATTTATTAAACGACTCGGGCAGTCAGAGGGCCATTAACTAAAATCGCCCAATCAAAATGCTCTATTGCCGGTCAATATTCTCTCAGTATTGGACCGGGCACTGTCCCGAATGGTCCCGAATGATACCTCACTTGTGTCCCTTTGAACTTCAGTCGTATAATAAATCTCGTATCAACCAAGCTTGCTCGGGACCGTACTGGAAGTATATCGGCCCTCGGTCTTTATTGTACGGACCGAGCTTCGCTCGGTCCGTACTGTCAACACCTCGGGCCGATATTCTCCCAGTACGGCCCTCGCGCTTGGTTAATAAGATATATAAATCACACACGAAGATCACGAGAACAGAGGAAATGATCACCAACTCAAGAAGCTCTGAATTTCTAAGTTAACTCTCCTTGTCAGCACCCAAGGAAATGCAGAAAGATCAGTATTGATAAAATGCCCTTATTAATGTCAGGGCGTAAACGGTGAAAAGGGGTCTATGAAAACGTAATGATTAGGATCTTAGGTTGAGTTATTCCTGATTAAATTTTTTATCGACTAGATCTCCTCACCAGCTGTTTAAATTTGCACCTGTTTTGCATTTATCTATGCTCCACCTACACTACGAGAGATCATTATGGGTGGGAAGAGCAGTTTCGCTCTAAAAAGCTGAAAAAAAGCCAGCTGTTTTACAGTCATAGTGTGTAATGTCAACAATGCTTAAAGCATCCTTCGGGAAAAACCGCAGGAATTTATTGTCAGTAGGGTATCACTATGTCACCGTTTCAAAGCTGCGTTCTTTTATCTGTTCTGCTTCAATAATGTTTTTTTTTTCTTTTTTTTGAGTAGCTAACGTCCTTGTCGGCGCAGTAAACACGACCCTTTGCGAAATCGTCACCATTTTGTGAAGGAAAAAGCTGTCATTGTTGTGTCACGAACTTAGACTTTTTAACGTCCAAATATTGAGAATCATGCTCTAAACCTTTCCTGATGCGGTATACATCAATTAACAGTCGAAAGTTTTACTCCGTTTATCAACGCTCTAGATTATTGTCGCCTTTCATTTACAAAGAAGATATAGATATGACCTGATTACCAAGGGAAGAAACAATTTCAATTTTGTTTCAAAATGGTATCATTTTTCTGATATTGTTGATTTCGCGCTTATTAATACGGCAGTTGAATTAGGCGCAAAACTGCTGAGTAAAGTTACCATCTTTCAGCTGGATCGATTATTTTCCTAACAAACAGATCTAGATGAAAGTTATTTTACGGATCTCCGTGTGATATCAGTGAGTACTCGTGTTATTGATATCCATTAAGTGGCTCCTCGACGGATATGCTCGGAATGATAAAATATACTCGACGCCTAATTCCCAAACTATCCATTGACAAGGGCCGTTTCTCGTTAGAAATTTCTCATCTTTTTCTTTGGTTACACTCGAAGATCTCCTAGGTTAGAATCGGTTAACGATGCGTGAAAAATATAACTTCGAGCGAAAGCCGCGGGACAAGGTGAATAACGTATTGATCCTTGTCAATAGCTTCCACCCATAATCTTCTTAAAATTCGTTTTATAACTTGCAAAATCAGAGGTACTCAGGGCGAAATGAGATCCTAAGAAGCGAATGAATTCCTTAGCACATTAGTCACACTTTGAACGTCTTTGGAAATCTCTTTACATACTAGAAGCCAAACTTTTTGACAAATTGGATTTGAAAGCTCGGAATAAATCTAGAAACCGCAGCGCAGTGTATTTATTATTTTTGAAAACAAATTTTTCCTAGTAGCTCACCTTGGGCCTCCCCGACGGCTGCAACAGTTCCCAAAACAACGACTAAAGTCAGTACAAACGTCCGTGCCATGGCGAACCGTGAATTCCCGTACATGCCGGTTTCTCCCCACTACAAACAAAGCTTGACCGCAGTTGAGAAAATTCTGGAAAGAAGTTTCACCTCAATAAAATAGGGTTTTCCTCAGCCAGGCGACAGTGCTTGAATATTATTGCCTGGGGAATAAAAAATGATCGCCAGCGACTACTAACCGCGGAAATGTGGCAAAGATTTGAAGCAGTCAGGAATTTAATCCGTTCATTGAAATATCGCTTTTCCTCCACAAATGCAAATTATGCCGACATGGTGTGAACTTTCTCTAAATGGGACGCGGCTGGCATACTATAACTATGTTTGTTTTACACAATTTGGGCTTTTATAAGGCACAGGGTACGCTCAAAACTTACCACTTATCGAATTTAATCTTTTTTTGAGTCTAGACGTGCAAAATTATTACATTTACGGAAATCTCCACGGCCAACTGTATTTTGTCACTTGCCACTTTAATATTTGACTTATTTCCTTTTATTTGAACCCATGGGTTAGCAGTCAAGATGTTCTTTTTTTTTTTGGGCTTTGCCCAACCTCTTGACACAAACGTATAAAGCAACTGAGTTCTGACCCGTCAATCTATACATAGTTAATTAACTATGGCCTATATCGATTTCACACTGAAGATGTAATATCATTAAGAATCTTTCAACGATAAAATGATGTAAACAGCTGTAAACGCCAACCCAAACCAGATATGCTTGGTATATTTCAGTGAGGAAATCTTCTCGGATTCCAGTAAATGCCTGTGGTTTTGGTATAAAGAGCAACGATGCTCTTTCGTTTTGTTTTTTATTTTTTTGACAGACCCGCTGAGAGACGTTTCTTTTTTTTTTAAGGGGAATAGATCCCTGGTGAGGTTACTGTTGGAAAACTCGGTTTGAAAACATATTGGCTCAGTCTCAGGTGGCCCAAGCGTACTGTGTGAGATTTTGGGGTCTAAAGATCATTAAGGGGAATATCTAACATTTTAACATCGAATTTTAAGCGTAAGCGTGGGCCGTCAACAAAAGGAAAAGTTATAAAAAAAATAATAATAAAATTTAAAAGGATAATAAAAGCGAGGAATATAACGTGTGAAGTTTCCTTACCACCTTTCTGTAGCCGCTTGGCCCGGTCACCAATGGTCGTTTTAACGCTGTTTTGGCGACTTTCTTTGTAAAGCGTGTCATGCTCTCAATCAACTGTATACAGTGTTTTTCTAACGGCCCGCCCTTACGCTTAAAATTCGATATTAATATGTTAGATAATCCCGTCAATCGCCTTTAGACCTCAAAATCACACACAGTACGCTTGGGCCGCTAGTGGTACAGTAAGGAAAAATATTTCGGTGTAGAGTCGTGTGCAGGATTGAAAATGCCGCTTCGAGAACACGCTGTTGAAGCTTTTATGGACACCAAGTATTGCAACACGGTTCTGGTTCCATCTGAATTCTTTATCATATATTCTTGCTTCAGTTCTTGAGACAACTAAATCTAGTTAGAAGCAATGTTTGACTCCAATAACGTGACTTATCGATTCCTCCCTACCCTCCCCCCCCTAAAAAAAAATGCCTAGAACTTCCAACCTCCAGCCTGAATTTCGAACCTGTCACGAAAGCTGAGAAATGTTTCTGAATTCCTCTATCGAAATAATCTCCGCCTACCCAGCCTGAGCTTATTGGATGGTTTTTTGCTTCATGATAAATTACAGCATCTAGATCCAAGCGAAATTCATTCCTGGTTTCTTACGAGTAAGAGTGCCAGGTTACTAAGCATGAACGATAGCCAATAACTCTTTTACAAAATTGGTCGAGTAATTTCAGTCTGCACAAAACGTTCAACATTCTCGCTTGTTTTACTGGTTCGGTTAACTTTTATGTGTAAAATACCTTTATTAGTGGCTAATACTCCTCTCCAAGGTGCTTTTTTGGAGAAATGGTGGTATTTTGAACCACATTAGTCGAAGTTGTTTACCTTGGTCACTGATTGCTGTTGGTTGTCAAGGACAAGGGTGATTTGCATTTGATGTGAAAGGCGGCTGAAAACATCGAAGATGAGGTTCAAGACTCACGTATTAAAAGAATCTAAACGTATCCTTTTTAGTCGAAATGTTAGTATGTAAAATATAAAGTAGTCGAGACGTAGATTGCTTGCAGACGTACCGTAAACACCGGCATATCAGGCGAATTCCAAGATAAGCCGATATACCTTAAGTCCCATCTTTTTCTTTAAGCAAACCAGAAATCACGGCAAAATTGTACGCCACTCAATTTAAAATTCAGTTTTTATAATTACCAAAAAATTTAGTCGTAGATCGATTTTAAAGTGTGACAATAAACGTTAAAACGAACTAGAAGATAGTTCCTTCACTTGAATTTGTTTCAACATTTTGATGAGTGGTTTACTACTGGTGGTTACATGTAGATCCCCTTTGTAGTTGTATTATAACATTCTTGACTTCTGACGACAGATAAGGATCTTGTTAGTTGTGTTGGGTGGACATCTGCTGATGAGCTGTTTTCTAGTGGGTAGGTTAATTCACATGTATTAGAGGTGATTGGCTAGGAAAGCCTGCAAAATAGAAAATGAAAGCAATGGTGATGGCATTTAGGTTAGGATCTCCCTGATTTTGCATAGGAACATGCAGTAGGTTAATGGGCTAGTGCTGGACTCTGAGGCAAGTGGTCCAGGTTTGTGGATTCTGCAGGTCATTGTGGGAGAAGAAATGTGTACAAATGAACTGAACTGTGAAGGTGTAGTCTGATGTTCCGCGTGAGTGTAGTCATGAGAAGGACTGTTGTCGGTGGTAGTGACTGACGTTTTGACAACCTGTGCGGAAGTCATCATCAGAGCCAACTGAACTGTTAGAGAGGCTTCATGAAATGCCAGTGGGAAGGGGGGGGATTAACCTTGCGATGAATTGGCATTCCATCCAGATGGAGGGGCACAGGGACTAAAAAAAAAAACAATATAATAGCAGTGAAGTTAGATACCTATTAAATTCAGTCACCGGAGAGTAAGGAGTAGAAGTCAGGAGTAGAAGGGCAAAATAAAAAAAAGGGAGGGAGGTGGGAGGACTTGGTATGCAAAGTGGGAGGCTGTTACCCCCCTGTCCCCTCTCTCATTCAGGGAGATTAACAATACTCCTAGTAACTTCATACTACAGAAACTGGGATAAACACTGGCTGGGTGAAGCACTTGGCTGAGGTACAGACTACCTTTACTGTAGTGTTTTGTGTTTTGTGTTACATGACGTTAGCACTGTTAGGAACTTCCTATTACTCAATCATGTCGTAAATTCACTCTTCTTAGAAACAGTAAAATAACAAATTATGAGTACTGTATAGTACTGAATAAAAGACAGTTGAATTTGAGGATTGAAAGTAGTCACTGGATCCCTGAATACTTTATAATTACCATTTTCACCAGGATGATTCTTCCAGGCAATAGTATTATTTTTAACAATTCATACTTGACTTTTTTTTTTGTTCTGTAAAAGAGATGATCACAGCATATTGAAGTGGAATCTGTTATCAGATGAAACTACACAGGTATATGATATTAAGATTGCTTCATTTCACTGTGTTAGAAAATTTATTGCCATTCCAATGTTGTTGATAACTAATGAGTTTCATTCTTTTGTGGATTTAACTTCCCTTTGAATTTTCTCTCTGTCAACCTTTCCTTTGATTGTCTCTTTAACAGGTCATGAAATTGCCTGCAGAGATCTTTCCAACTGACATACACTGGTTTCCTCGTGGAGCTGGAGGCAAAAAACAAAGCCAGTCAGAGCTGTTTGTCCTTACTTCAACAGATGGTAAGATCATTTATACCTCCAGTAATACTTGCACAACATGACTGCAGAAATTATACAGGTCATCTAGGTGGTGACTTTTTAGAGAAAATTTAGTCACTCGACACTCCTAACTCATCTCCCAAGTTCAAACTTTTTTTTTTTTAGCCCTTTTACCTCCCAGATCATAATTATTTAACCTTCCTTACTATCTGTCCCACAATTCTTATGATGTCAATCCTTAGAATTTGGTATTAAATCAACTAATAATCCCCTAATTGATGTTTTTCTTTATTCTCATTACTTGTCTGCTTGATATTAGATTTATATTGAAAGGAGAAATTCTGTCTTGGTCATTTCTGGGAGTCAAAAGGTTTCAGAAGAAAGGGTATTTTTTATGCTAAATTTATTGGGCTTACTATATTATAACCTCATATTTATCACTTACTGTAGGTAAATTCCACTTGATTTCTCGGAATGGTCGTATTGAGAAATCTGTTGAGGCTCACAGAGGTGCTGTTCTCTCTGGAAGATGGAGTCTTGATGGATCAGCAATGGTGACAGGTGTGAAAGGCCTTTCCTAATTTAACTGTCCATCTGACAGCAGAATGTGTATAACAGAGTCCATTTTCCTTGCTAGTGGTTAGTTAGTAGATTCTCTGTAAGAAAACTCTCAAATTACCATTTGTCAACCAAGCGTATAGTTACAACTGCCAACAAGATCTGTTTCAACATGCTCTTTAACTTTATTACATTACAGTTGATCGTGGTTGCTAAAGGAACAAAGTAGTCACTATAGTTATTACAAAATACAAGTGGAAGGAATAGAAACGTAAACAGCATATGAAAAGCAATCAGATGAGGAAAAACACATAACAAACATTGTATGATTTTGTGTACACGAAGGAAGGAAAGCTAGGAGTTAAGGATGGAAAACTAAAAATTGATCGCAGTAAAATAATCGGCATTGATGTCAAGGACTGATTCTCTAGTGCTAAATTTTAGTGAGAAGCTTAAATACAAAATGAAATTAAACAAAGCAAAATTATATGAATTAAAAAAAATGTAACAGAATTAATATAAATCAATGTGAGTGAAAGAATGCAAAAAACAATGTAGAAAAATGCACATGCTAAACACCAAAATGTCATTAGGAACGTAAATGGGAATGCTGCAGTAGTAACAGTGGGTGTAACAGATGCTTGGAAAAATGTACCTTGACCCTGATTCAAGTGGAAGTAGTAGTAACGCCCTGCTAGCTAGTACTTTGTCTTGTAAAATGACACAGAAATGTTGTGGATGCAAACATAGTAGCTGGTTGTAGTACCACTTAAAACATTGAATAAATGCAACAATGAGGCAGTGATAACAAAGTGCCTGTTCTAACCTAAAGCACGATTAATAAAGTGTGTATCTTAGTGTGCTGGAACATTTCATCTTTGTTTTTGTTTTTTTTTTTTACTAGTTGGAGAAGATGGCCAAGTAAAGATCTGGTCGAGAAGTGGAATGTTAAGATCAACTTTGGTTCAAGCAGGTTTGTGTGCATACCAAAAAAATAAGATAATACAGCACTGTAAACTTCTGGTGTTTCAACCTGAGGCAGAATGTTACTTGAATGGGTCTCTCACTCTAACCGAAGGGTTTTACAGCCCTGCACATAAACTGACTCTTAGATGATTTGATTGAAACATTTAGGGCTGAATTAGCTAAAATTATAATAGCTAGGTGTATGGAAATCGATATCTCAAGAATAAGTTGTCTTAAACCTGTCGAGTTCCTTAGTATTTTAAATTAGCCAAGATCACACTCATGGAATTAAGTTTGACTACACTTTTTACAAGCTATGATACTTTGAATAATTTTTTCTATAATAATATTTGATTGTGTTTTCACAGGGACCCCAGTATATTCTGTATCATGGAGCCCAGACTCAGACCAGATCCTTCACACAAGTGGCAAGCAGTTGGTGATTAAACCTTTACAAGCTGCTGCTAAACCAGTGCAGGTGTTGTACAATAAAGAAGCTGATGTTTTTTGTTTTTTTCTAATCTGTAGCTTAGAAAGTGTTCTAATGTGGTGCTTGCGATAGAAACAGGCATAAAAACTATATAACAGTTACAGTACTGTTGTAGTGACACCTAACCATACAACTGTCAACAGGCTTCAACTCCCACAGTGATGTTTCATCTTCAAGATCAATTTAAGAAAAACGATTCAATGCTTTGTAGGGATTTGCCAACGATAATGTGAAGGTGCCAATGAAAAGAACTGATCGATACAATAGGTTGATTGAAAAATGCCTCTATCACTATTTTCTTTAATTCAGTTTCCAATGGTATACTTAAAAACTTTACAGAAACCTGTATGCTGTGCTGTATGTGGTAAAATTAATTCCATTGTGTATAACTCAATATTTTTTTTTATGTAGTGGAAGGCTCATGATGCAATTGTGTTAAAAGTTGACTGGAATCCTAACAATAACATTATTGTATCTGGTGGGGAAGACTGCAAGTATAAGGTACTTTGTTTCTTTCTTTTTTTTTTTTTTTACTTACAAAATTGTTGACTTATTGATCTTCTCTAACCCCATATTACTTCAATTTTATCTCTTTTTCCCTTGTTAAGTTAACCATTTTCCCCTCTCCCTGCTAAAAAAAAAATCAGTTTTGTATTGTGATACCATGATTCCCCCTCCCCCCTCCCCCAACATTTAGTTGGGGGGAGGGGGAGGGGGAAGGAAGTTCATGATTTAGAGTGAGGTAGAAACAGGACTGTTATTCTTCACATATATTAAATAGAACTCTTCAAACGTGATGTGTCAAGTAATCTTGATACTGATAATGTAGTATACAGCCCAGCATGTGCTGTTATGGAAAAAGAATTTAAGAAAAGTTCCTATTAATTTTGATGGATGATGCATGAATAGAGAGGAGCTTGTAAAAAGCCAATTAGCTTAATATTATATGGCATCCAGAGGTGTATGAGGCAAGAATGAAAGGAAGAACTTAGAAAGAGAACAGCAGTGTTACTAACAATAAAATTAATGTTCGTTGATTGAGTAATGTTGGGCTGGACAGGAAAATATTTGGTTCTTGGTCATGTACGTAATACACACTTCACTGCAGTGCCTCCAGGATCCAAATACTTTTTCTGTCTTATTTGACCCTCTCGCTCAGTCAATAAGGACACATTATCAGGTAGAGTGGGAAGAAGACAAATCTGGATTATGTTCTTTAACACAACAAACAATTATTAGGCAGTTAACAATTGAATAATTTGGATATATCAACAAAGTTGAAATGGTAAATTGGCCACCGTACCAAATTATTTCGTTACTCTCACCGACGCAGCCCCAAACAGTTTCTTTCGAAACTATCAGCCTTTATTCAGTTAACAATTGACATGGAGAAGGTTAATGTGCGACATGGGTGACACTCTCTATAATTCTAATTGTACAATCTGAAAGTTCAGATGGAATTATAGTGCTAAGAAGGACTGTTGTCTGTAGTTAAATGACTGATGTTTCATGAAATAACATAACATACCAACTTTATTCAAGATGTAAACAAGCTTTATATAATTACAGGAAAAAACATAGTGATGAATAAAGGGAGTCTAGAGGTTAGCCCTGTATTAAAACTCCCAAACAGAAATAGGAAATGCAAAATAAAAACATGAAAATACAATTCCATCATTCAAAAATCTAGAATTAATTAAAACATGGTTCTAGTTTAAAATTTATTAAGTAGATACATGTAATAATGAAGCTTATTTTTGAAATGATAGTTAAGCTTCATCATTATCTACTTAATAAGAGTAATTTTAAACTAAAACCATGTTTTAATTCACGTCTAGATTTTTGAATGATTAACCTTCTTTTGGCAGCCTGACAACCTATTATTTACAGTGCCTCCTTTTCACCAAGGAGTATAAAACGAGCATGCAATATTTTATCTTTCAATGACACTGTACATCAAAACTGTATGACGAGGAATAACCTTCTTTGAACATGTTATTATCTTGTTAGGTGTGGGACAGTTATGGCCGAGTGTTGTATTCCAGCATGTTGCATGAGTATCCAATCACCAGCATTTCATGGGCTCCAGATGGTAAGTGTCCTTTTATTTGGATTTTTAAGCAGGCATTGAAAGGATAAATTGCTTTTGATATCAAATCTCTGCAGTCATTTTAAGTTTCATTGATATTTATTTTCATATCTGTTTTCAAGAGTACACATAATATTCCATTACATCAGTGTACAAACTATTGATTTTTTAAATTTTCTTTATGTCGATTTGATAGGTGAACTCTTTGCTGTTGGGTCATTTAATACTCTGAGACTCTGTGACAAAACTGGGGTAAATATTTTTTTATGTAAAGTTAGCAGAAAGTCAAATAGAAGACTCACTTATTAAAACTTACCTCTGGACTAAAATTCTTCAATTCAACTGACTTCATCTATTGGAGCTTGACACTAACTTTTCAACTTAATAGCCAAGTGACTAGTTGCAGCTTAGATATTATGGCAGTTTCAGTTTGTTAATTAGTAGTCAAACTGGCTGGTGGAAATGAAAACCACCAGCAAGAACTGAATTTCTTCTAGTCTGTGGCTAGACTATGGCTTACCCTTAATTGAGACCACCTTTTACCAGTTTAGGTAAAATATGCGGTTACTGTCAGTTATACAACTAACTAAAGACAGGGTGCTCAATTTCTGAAGTCCAGTTAAGAGAGGAGAAAGTTCTGTAGACAGCGGCTGAAGAATTATAACCATGATCAGAGATTCTTTTTTATAATTTTAAATTATCTAAGATTGATCTCGGGTTTTGAATGCCTACTTTTCATAAATTTGTTTTCTGTACTAATGCAGAGCTCTTGTTCAGTCGAAGAGAAATAATCTGTTTAGGTTGGCTTAAATTCTGAATTTTTACGTAAAGGCAACGGAAAGATACTCAAAGATGTGCTTTGTATCATGTCACTGTTTTGACTTTTGTCTGTGTGTTATATTCCTTCAGTGGTCGTACACCCTGGAGAAACCCAACACTGGCTCAATATTCAACATTGCTTGGTCAAGTGATGGAACACAACTTGCAGGTGCTTGTGGGAATGGACAAGTTATCTTTGCTCACGTCATCGAAAGGTGAGTTTTATGAGTGGAATGATGGAATGTAATTGCATAGTTTTTATGGAGTCTGCAAAAGGCTTGTTATGAATTTGAATCATTTTGAGATTTTTTCACAGTAAAATATTACCTCTGTAATTTGCAGACGTCTTGAGTGGAAAAACTTTGAAGTAACAATAACAGACCGCAAGAGTATTTTTGTCAGAGATGTTATGAATGATGTCAAAGAATCATTGGGTAAAACTTTTAATAAAAAACTTATCTATAAATTGATCTCACTTTTTTTTAGTTTTCAGAAAATCTTGTGACCAAATTTTTTGGTTTCTTTGATCATTCATAATAAGTGTTTTGCACTAATTAAAAATTAATCTTAACAATTCCTTCAGACTTCCGAGACCGCATTATAAAGACTTCATTGGCCTTCAACCACCTTGTTGTAGCAACAACATCGCAGTGCTACATATACAGGTTAGTTGTAGTGGACTGGTTATGGAATCTTGATCAATACACTAAGATTATCGTTATCTGATTATCGATCACTGATGGGAAATAATTGCTTTTTATTTTGCAGTGTCAGAAACTGGAACACACCAATGATATTTGATCTCAAGAATGGAAATATCACCCTCATTGTCCAGACTGAAAAGTGAGTTTTGGAACATTTTTTTTTTCAGTTATAGTTGCAGCCCTTTTCAGTGTTACATGCATACCTTAATTTGCAACTATTTTCCACGCCTGTTGGACTTCTATCTTTCGACATGCTTTGTAACCAAGCCTGTTGTAACAAGTCACTGAGGCCGTAAACATGGCGGAACTCGCGACTGTTTTGGATGCCGAATTTAGGCAAGCGATTTATGTTTTTGGCCTGCCAGTTCCCGAAGTTTCCGAGGAAAGAAGTCGAGAAGTGATGATATATACGAAGACCGCCTGTGGGAAAGCTATCGGTCAACCTTTGAGTTTTAACCACAAAATCTCCGGCGAAAGACCTGTGGAAGACCAGACGTTGGATCAGACAGGTTCCTGCTGACTCAATCGAAAATTGTGCCGATTAAAATGTTTTAGACCATGTTTAGTACGTTAAAAAACGATCTAAAGCGAACACGGTGTTTCTAGTAGTGAATAACAGTGGGATGGATCGAGTTTTTTTAGAATACCCGGAAAGGATGAAAAACGTCCATAAATCAAGTGTTCCGATACGGATGGGTGTCGATTGGTACTTTCGCGGTGAGTTTTCTTCGCATGGTTTATTTGTTAGCCTTAAATAACTCGCCATCGCAAGTCTGCCGACAGACTTTTTACCATTTTGATGGCAGGTTTGCAACCTCGTTTGAGCAGAATGGGTGTGAGGACCTGGTAAACGTGTAAATAGCATGTCGAAAGATGGATGTGGAAACACCCGCCTTTTCTCGCAATGCACGTAACACGGAAAATGGCTGTAATTTCTAGAATTTGGTGTTTGCTAAAATTCTCTTTTTTAATCCTAAATTGTTTCCGTCCCTGAAAATTAAATTACTAATGAAAGGCACGATGAACACCAAGAGTTTCCGAAGAGCCTTCTTGGTACAAAGGGCGATTGTTTTAAAGTTGGTTTTATTAGAAAGTCTTTACGGTGACCAATAATTTACATTATCAAATCAGATAAAATCAAAACTATACCTGCAAAAATCATCTTAAGATTTGTGTTGTTTGTTTTATTTCGTTAGATACTTTCTTCTGGTGGACGACTCAGGTCTTCAGATTTACTCATACGAGGTTTGTGCCAGTATTGGCCCAACATTGGCCAGTATTAGGTCTCGTGCATTTTCTATACTTCCCACTGATATCAGCCATCACAGTTTAACCATTAACCTTCTAACATGATCATTATGTATATTCTCCGCACTGCTTTCTATACACATTGAGCTAACCGCCTCCCGGTTAGCTCAATGGATAGAGCGCTGGACTGTAGTGCGGGAGGACGAGGGTCCGAGCCCTGGCCGGACCAACACTCAAGGTCTTAAAATAATTGAGAAGAATTTGCTACCTTTCTATAACATCAAGAAATGGTTAGATATTCTAGTCTTCTCGGATAGGGACGAATAAATGGAGGTCCCGTCTCCTGCAAGGTTAGGGGGACGAGACGTTAATTTCCCACACACGAGATTACTGTGTGATGGATGTCCTCCCCTGGGGTGGGATGGGTGGGTTAAGACAGCAGGTCCACATCAGCTATTACAGCTGCCAAATTAATCAACCTGCGAAAACAAATAAATGAATTTCAACTTCAACTTCAACATCCTATGGTGCTACATGTAACAAAGAGAATTGGTTTAACAATCAAGAGCCTTAAAGAGTGGTAATCATCTCAGAGGAGATAATTCACTGATATTTCCAAGATTTAATTAATACTAGGTTTATGAAAGATTCCCTTGCCCATAGAGGTGCAATCTTTTGGAACACTATTAGCTAAAGTGAAGCTAATATCTTGCACAAAAACCCAAATGAGCTGTTTTGATATTTGAAAACAAAGCCTTATTTTAGAGATTTTAAATTTAATATAATTGCTTCAGCTTCAGCTGTCTGCTATAAAAATGATGACTTTCTCTACTTTTGATTAAGATGTTAGTGTTAGCCTTTTACTTATTTAGCTAGTCTTCTTCTTATTTAAATACTGTATAAACTAAATACACGACCCCTCAAGCTGTTAGCTTTAATTATTATCGTGTTTAAATAAAGGCCTTATCTTATCTTATTCTTGTGACCTGTAGTTAATTTTTGATTCAGGGGTGATGCAACTAAAGGAGAAATTAGATGCCAGTCACTCTTAGAGATGGAAGAGTTAAATAGCATCAGGGCTTGACGCTAACAGTAGCCAACTAGCCTCAGACTAGAAGAAATTCAGTTTTGGCTAGTGGCTTTTGATTTCCGCTGGCCAGTTTGGCTAGTAAACAAACTGATATTGTTGTATCATCTAAGTTGTCACTAGCGACTTGGCTGGTAAGTTGAAAAGTTAGCGTCAAGCCCTGTAGCATCATTTTTTGTCATCATCAGTGATACTTTTTTGTGTTTTTAAAACATCCATGGCATTTTAGTTGTTTGATCTTGCAGGGGCGATTAACCTGTGTTCCAAAGTTCCAAGGATTAAGGACAGACACCTTGAATGAGCAAACATGTACATTAAGCAATGATACACTTGCAATCAAAGATCGGAAAGACGAGAAAGGTAAAGTTGTAAATTACCTTGATCCACTTTTGTATTATGTACGAGGTTAATTTTAACCCAGCAGAAGGCATGTTGAAGTTTATTGTGAATGACTGACATGTTAAGTTTTGGTAAGAATCCGATTCCACCATTACAGGGCTCTACACTAACTTTTCAACCTACTAGCCAAGTGGCTGGTGACATTTTAGATGCTACGACAATGTCAGTTCGTTAACCAGCCGAACTGGTTAGTGCAAACCGAAATACACGAGCCAAAACTGAATTTCTACCAGTCTGTGGCTAGTGGGCTACCGTTAATGTTGAGCCCTGCACCAACCAACTTGGCCAATGCGTCAGCCAATGCATCAGCCGACATACTACTGACACACCACCAACACACTACCATTGTGTTGGCAGTAAGATCAACCAATGTCCAAGCCATACTGCAGTTTAATTTACAGTATTGTTATTGCTGTTTTCTTTTTTCAGTTATTCATTTATTTGAAACTCAGACAGGAAAGCCAGTTGGAAGTGGTCAGCCAATTCAACACTCTGTAAGACAGTGTTTTTGTTCTATAAATCTAAAGAGTTACAAAATTTGTTTTGTTTTTTTCTCTTCCCTATAATTATACAAGCTAATAACAGGACTTGCGCTTAAAGCACTGACAACAACAGTCTTTAGATCACTTTTTGAAGTATCATGCAGTCAAGCCTTCTTATCAGATGCTCAAAAAAGATCATAATTATGTGCAAACCTAATTATAGTTTACCATAAGCCACGTACAAATTTTTTTGAATAAGTTTTTTTCTTTGTTTATCGGACTCAGCTTCACATTCTGTCTTTTGATTTCAGCTGGATGTAATGGAGATTGCTCTAAGTCAGTGTGGGCAAACCTGTGACAGCCAACTGGCCATGATTGATAAAAACAGAGATCTTTATCTAACACCTGTCAAACACATTGGTCCAGCTGAAAGACTGGTTAAACTTGGTTAGTACAACAGATAACACTTGAACTCCTACAAGTTATTTACTGGTTAATTTCCCTTACACTATCAGTACACTACAGTACACAGAAAAATGGTAATGAGAAAACACAAATTTATCAGCTGGAGAGTGTCTGTTAAAAAAAAAAAATTGAGCAGTAGCAGTACATAGGTTGAGATTTATTTCGTAAACATCTTTTGATGAAGAGGTTTTGGTTAAGGTGGCTTGTTGAAAGCTTTTTTGTGCAGTTAAATCATAAAATGTAGTTTTTATAGGGATTTAAGCGCACAGGATGTTATCATGGCACAATATTTTGACTTTCACCTGTAAGTTACTCAGTGGCACACCCACTTTTTGTGGTTAATTGGAGTCTTGTTTTAACTTACTTCTCTTTTACTCAAGGAACAATGATAACAACAATGGCATGGAATGACAACACAAACATGTTGTCAGCATTCCAAGATGGGAGATTTATTGTTTGGTATTATCCGAGTGCAGTTTATGTTGATCAGGATATCCTGCACAAAACACTAATTGAGAAAGATTCCAGGTAAAGAATTAAAATCCCTGTCAATGCTCTATCATTTAAGGGGTGGGTTGGTACATTATTGGTAAGTGTTCCAGGGCTGTGGTCTAGCAGCACCCAGTGGCCTTTTGTGCCTTACTTTTGCTCTTTAGCAACTCAGGAATCTTAGTTTTTTAATAAAAAAGCATATGCTGGGCACCCTGGATTTCACAGTTTCAGAGCACTGGGTTTCCCTTCTATTTTTCATAGAGCACATAATTATTTGTGTTGCACAAAGTTCATTGGCATCACTGGCCACACTTTGAATTTATTTGAACAGATATTGCCCTTGGCAGTGATCCCTAAAGAAAATGTTATTAACAAGTGGTCTACTCCAGGACTTAAAAGTAATTACAAAAACAATGTCACTCTGTCACTTATTTTTCCCATTTTTAGTGATTTTGGTAAGAACCCTCAGATTGTCAGCTTCCTGGAAAATCACTGCACAATGAGAAGAGCTGATGGCTCTCTCTGCAGCACAATGTAAGTTTTCTCTTCACATCCATGCCGTATAATTGCAACTCTAGTAATCAGATTTGTCATAGAAAATGAATCTTATTTATGCACAGTTTGGTGATGTTACAGTTATAGCAATTGACATTTGCCAGTGTTTACACAAACTTTAACGTCCAAAAAATTAGGTCTTCTCTAATGAAATATTAACAATGTCTGTTAGTCTGTCACACGAGTCCAAAAGAATCAGCAAAAAAAAAAATTTGATGATGTTAGTACCCTGCTACAGATAGGGAATGTTACTAATAAAAGTAATTTTGCTCAGGGCTGTTGTTTTGGTTGTTTGACAGAATTTCACCATATCCATCAAAGCTTCACAAGTATGCCAGTGAGTCAAAGTGGCAAGATGGTATTCGACTCTGCAGATTTGTTAAGGTAAATCTGTGATTAATGATGATTGGTTAATGATTTCTTGTCATTTTTTAATGATTTCTTGTCATTTTCAAATGCATTCAAGCCCAAACAGAAGCAAATATGAATTGGCATTTATAATAAAAATTGGTTTTATGTTATTGTAAGAGCAGCTTTGAGAACTCTCCATTAAAATTCAAATATTTTTCTTGTTTAAAATAGCCTTGTAAGTTGTAAACATGTATAACTCAAGCAGTTGTGTATATATGAACACAAAAAAAAAATGATACAAAGAGTTATAAGTAAAAATGTATGACATGAAAATAAATCACTAGTAAGAGCTTTTACACATAAGCAATCTTTTCTCAGAGTGTTAAAAGAACACTGCAGGGTGGATGGCTTCCGAAGATTGTACTAAGAAACATAAATCATTAGCTTGGATTAGTACAAGTTAAACTAGAAACCTCATCTTTTTCCATTTTTGTGGTTCCATTGTTATAATGCCAAAGCAAGATAGCTTAAGTTACTCATGGTTAATGATAGCTTGTATTTTGGATGTGACAGTTTCATATGAACAACATGGAATTCTATTCTAAAGCAGAGTTAAGAAGAAAGATGAAAACAGAGTTATTTGGAAAGAAAGGGTTTAGATCTCACGTGGCACAGTTTGCATGAAAATTATGCCTGTTGCTGTGATGGAAATAACTGAGTTAGTAGATCTTGACTTGACATGGAATAAACTTGCAACTGTGCTTGAAAATGTTGGAAAATTAAAAAATCTTTCATCTTGATTGTTTAGTTTTCCAATATTTTCAGGTATGGCCTTTCATTTACATCTTGAATAGATTCTAAGTATACTTAAAGTATACTGTACTTGTCACTTTGCCACTAGTGGTTTTATTTTTAAAGTATCCTTGGAGTGTACTGCAAAATTTTCTGTTTCTCTCCAGTTCACTTCAAGTTTAACTTTTGAGTGTTCCAATTTCAGGAGGTACCAAGTATGATACAAAACACTACTTTTAGTAGCTCTTCAAACTATTCTAGGTCTAACGAAAATATACTTTCTGTATCTTATTTGCATTACACTTTGATTATAGAAATAGTATAGTAAAATTGTGCTTAATTTTGGTGAGGGTAATAGAACATAACAAATGTTTGCTCAATACGAAGAAAGGAAAGGAACAAACATTACACTGGTCGGGAATAGATAATCACTGACCAAGTTTGGAGAGAGAAAGGAAAATGTATGTGCACTTTTTTTCAGGACAATGTTTTGTGGGCATGTTTAGCAACCATGGCTGCCTATGCAAAGGATCTCAATACTGCAGAGACAGCTTATGCAGCCATAGATGAAGTATGTACTGAAGCTTATTTAATATTGTGCTGTTGTCCAGGGAGTTGCAGCAGTTGAGGACTGATAGAGGTTGATTAGATCTGTGTAAGGAAAAAAGCACGGGAATACTTGAAATCAAATGCTACAAAAATGCTGTGGATTACTGAAAAATGGTGGCTACCAAACTGCTTAATATGAAAGCCATGTTATCATGCACTCATGAGGCTAACTGCTGACCAGAAGCCCAGACCAAATTTTTGGAGATTACCTTTTTGTTAAATTGTGACGTGACTAAATCTAAAATGTAAATTCAGAAATCACAATTGAACTTAATTGTTTTTTAAACTGTAGGCTGACAAAGTCCAATACATCAATCACATCAAGGAAATTCCCACAAAAGAAGGAAGAAATGCTGCCATGGCTCTGTTCTGCCGACAGACTCAAGAAGCAGAGACAATTCTCTTGCAAGCTGGGCTCATTTACAGGGCTATACAGATGAATATTGATCTCTTCAACTGGGACAGGTTTGGACTCAGTTACCACTTTAATTTTCCCTTCTAGTCTTTTGAGTGTGGTATGGAAATGGTTTTGTTGGAGCACAGTGTGTAAGCAGGCATCCTTTATGAAAATGCAGGAATTTGGAAAAGCCACAGGGCAAAATCTTTTCTACTACTAGATGCTCCATTTGTTGGTCCTTCTTACCAAGTCAATTTATAAGGGAAATACTAAGAGCAGCAGTATATTATATTAACACTTCAGTTGCAGAAATTTGTAACAGTGGCTCCAGTGAGTGAGTCCCTTGAAAAATCTTAGCTACACTAGTCTCACAAATAGATCCATTGTAGATCTTCAGTTTCTTTTGTTGCATTGCAGGGCTCTGGAACTTGCTGTTAAGCACAAGACTCATGTGGACACTGTGTTAGCCTATCGACAGAAATATCTGGAAAACTTTGACAAGACAGAAACAAGCAAACGGTTTCTACAGTATGCAGAAGGGGTGAGCCATATTAAATCAGGCTTTTAACTCCTAGAAATGATTAAACATGTAATTTCTCCCCATGTGATATTCATACTTTCTCCAGCAAACAGGCAATGAGAATACTCAAAGTTATGAGGTAGAAGTAGTTATCTTGATCTAACACCCAATTCTCATTACCTATTTACAAGGAAATGTGTAGCACTAAGGGGGAGAATTCACAATCAGATATTGTTAGAGGGTTAGACGTGCTGCATTGAAAATATCAATGCTTTGGGAAATGATTCTTGTTTACATGAACACCAGGCATGCCTACATCCCATTTCAATTGGTACAGTTTTCATATCTTTGGACTTGATTCTATTTGCAAAACACCCTGATAATTATAGTCAGTGTAAAATGGTATGTATTAGGAAAAAGAATCCTTCATACGTTAAAATTCATGTTTTCCAGTATAATGTAATTAGCATGGAAACTGTCTGTACTAGTTAATGGTGCCCTCACAAGGCAAAAGTCAGTTGTAACACTTGCTAAATTTCAAGGAATTTATCTGTTTACATGGTTCACCTGTATTTTTCAGGTGGAAGTTGACTGGGAGAAAATAAAGGCCAAGGTTGACAATGAGCTACAGAAAGAAGCTGCAAGGCCAGGTGCTAAACCTTACAATGGCTGATGATGCTTTAAGAGACTGTTGTTTGAGTCTGATGAATCTTAAATGTAAATGATTTGCTGTAATTACAATTATCTGCTAATACTTCAAGGCTTACACTGTAAATAGGCCAATTTCAAGCTGCTCAAAACTTTTGTTTTAAAAATAATGCAAGGCCCTTTTTATCAGATTGCAGTTCAGGGCTTGACACTACTAACTTTTCAACTTACTAGCCAGGTGGCAAGTGACAATTTAAATGTTACAACAATTTCAGTTTGTTTACCAGCCAAACTGGCATGTGGAAACCGAAAACCTCGAGCCAAAACTGAATTTCTAAAAGTCTGTGGCTAGTTGGCTACCCTTAGTGTCAAGTCCTGCTTATTCCAATTCTGTACAAATGGGAGTCGTCGTGTATAAATAGTATTATTTATTAGTAATTTGAATTGTCATAAACAAGACATATCCAAAGGCTTTCTGATCTTTGCTCTGGTTCAATTAATTCATTTCAACTAGTAAGCACATAATAATAATAATAAACCAAGAATTAGAACACCATTGTTTCATTACCTTTACATGTACATTTGTTATTACATTTTAGTGGGGACTCATTTATTACATCATTTACTCTAACTTGTTGTAATGTTTATAAAAATACATTGTAGGTGTAATTGAAAGATCATTTTAGCAACACATTCCATGTCAAACAATTAATCTATCTATCTAATAAAAATATTAAACTTCTCTGGCGTGTCAAATGTAAGCAAGAAGTATTTTGACAACAACTGCTATAATTAATGTTTTCTGCCTTTTAGCAAACATATCAAGGCAAATGGTATTCATCAATTGAAATTATTCCTTGTTTTTGCCACAAATCAGGAACATTGGCAGCTTTTTCCATTCCAACTGTTGATCCATGCCATTATCTTGAGATGTCCACTGAATCCAGGCCTGATGGCCTTCCCTTTGACTCCAAACCATTCTTTCCTTTATCCCTCCTCCCTCTCAACTTATACACATTTTCATTCCAATTTTTCAATTTGTCAGATGTCATGGGGAGGTGACTCCAAGCTCATCCAAAGATAAAGTTTGTGTCCATTCATATAACTTGTCAGCTTGATCTTCCCAATCCTCGTCTTGAAACAAATCAACATCAGGCACCTGTGTTACTGGTGTACCTCCCGGGCAACTCTCAGGCAGTTTTGGAGAATCCATTCCAAACATTTTCCGCATTTTTGCAACCCTTGCTTTGGCTTGTTTTGACCTTCTGATTGGAGACGAGATGGTGTAATCTACTTGCCGTTTCTTCCTGGAAATGAGAAAGTTTCTTTTCATCAGTTGAGCACTGATTACGTGATAAAGAGTAATACAAAGATAAAATCTGTTCTTGAGCCAAGTGGCCCACTGAACCAGCTGGAGCTTTCTGTGGTTTCCTTAGCATGAAGGACCTAGGAGTATGACTACTCCCCCCTGGATGAATGCCAGTCCACCTCAAGGTTACCCCCCCCCCAAAAAAAAAAAAAATTTTATCAGGCATCAATTTTCCATAGACATTTCTACTCCTGGGTTTAGAGATGTACCATGAGAGTACTTTGATAATGCCTTTAATTTATTCACCCAGGAGGACATATAAGTCAAGTGAATTGTTGGGTAAAACGGAGAAAATACAGGGGGATAACCATACAATGGACCAGCATCCTATCCAGGGGGGGGGGGAAGAATAGTAATACTACTCATTGCTTTGTGATATGGAAACTGGGATAAGCTTTGGTTGGACCAGGGCCACGTGGCTTGAGTACACACTTTACTTTGTTTACATTCTATTTAGAGACTTGTAAGGGAGGTGGGTGTCTAACGGAAGGAGCTAATATGTGCATTATTGGCATAGTTATGGTAAGACTGACAGATCATACGACCATTTGAGTTAATTGTTACTGACAACATTGCCAGTAACAATTCTTTTCTCCTATAAAATTTATTAATTAATCTTCTTTGTGGCTTTTATTTGTTTTCGGCATCTAACATTTACTTGAGAAATGTGTTAATTTAAAAAATCATTGCCATTGTACCTGTACAAAGGAATTGCCTTGATGCTGGCTACTTGAATTTCTTGAGTAGCTGGTCTCAATGCCAACAAATCTGGACACTCCTCAAGCAGTCGTGTGGTCGAGATACCACATGCCACATAACTGAAGATATCATGTACTATATTTTGCCGTGGTATGGCTATGCAATTGGACAAGATATACAATTCAAACTTTAATTTAAGCTTGAAGGAATAGTAAGGTGTACATACATTTATATCTATCTTCAAATCAGACAAGGGAAAATTACACTATGAAGGCCTAAATGCTTTGAATAGGATATTTACTGTTTTTACATACAGCTGTACTAGTTAAGTAGATGTTAATTTTATGTAATCCGACCTCAATCGAAACACACTTTTGAAAGATTACTACCAATTAGCAAAATTGCACAAAAAGCATTTGGTTGACTTACCTTCAAGAGTGAGTCTTCTCCAAGTGTTTGATTTTCCTCCTGTTGCTGCAGGACATTCATCTAAATGGCTTAAATACTGTGAGACGAGTAAAAAAAGCTATCAAATTAACCTGGTCCACTGAGCTTTATATACTTTTTAGTTAGAATTCAGAAAAATTAACAACTACATATTTGCACTCATGTAGCATGTCATTGAGCTTGGATAACAGTAAAGCTTGACGGAGTAATTGAATTAAGGGGTATTTAGTTTCTAAAGAAACTGTGGTGTTGCGTCGGTGGGAGTAGCAAGGTAATTTTTAGTTTTAAAGCTGAGTTCATAAAGTATTATTGGCTACTGTTAAGAGTTTCAAAGATGATGTTTGCAGTGGTAGCCCTTTGTCACAGTGAAAGATGAAGGTCTAATGTCATTGTTGCTCTGACAAAGGGCTAACACTCAAAACTTCAGCTTTGAAACTCTTTACAGAGACCAATAATTATTTACTGTGTCAACTCAGTTGATAAAACTGAAATTTGCTTAACAGGGCAGCTTGAAAACATATCTTATTTACCCCCAGTGCCTCTCTCCATCCAGACTTATTAAAAAAGTTGAGAAATTTAAAGTACTGGATAGAGGTAGAAGGGTGTAATCCATGACATGAAAGCTCAAAGTTGCTTGTTGCATTTCAGCGATTAACCTGTAACTTCTCCCTATAATATCCATACATGATCCAGCAAACAGGTAACGAGAATACTCAAACTTATCAGGTAGAAGTTTTTATCTTGATCTAAAAACAAATTCTCATAACTAATTAAAAAGGAAATGTGTGACAGCTAGAGGGGAGAATTAACAATCAGATCTAATTCAAGTCAGAAACTAAGGAGACATGCATGTAGCCACTGAATCGAACGGTTAATTTTAGAGTCTTTCAATCCAGGTTCATCAAATAAGCAGCATACAAATAATGTTTCTGAAAGTAGTATTACACAATCGAAACTCGCAAACGCAAAGCAAAATATAAAGCAAAATGAAAGTACACAAAGCTCAGACAAATAAATTGAAATGTCGAACACTTGCAAACAATCTGAGGTTTCCTTCTCAAAATAACTGAAAAATGTTCGTCGAAATCGATAGGATGAAAACGATTCACGTTCGCAATCTTCAGAACAAAATTCATCCTACACATGGCCGAACAAGATCACTGTCTCGCTTGGCCTGGTAACAACTGGAGTTCATTCATGTTAAAATCATGAAATGTCCATTTGGAACCTACAATGCATTCACCTGTTCAACAGTTGGGGGATTTCCTTTGTTGTTCCACATACCTGCATATAATCTTTCATTGTTGTTACATCAGTTTCATCAGTTACTCTGTCTTTCTCATGCTGACACGTGTCAGCTATTAACTGATCACAGAATTTCCGATTTCCCATCAATTTAAGGGAGTCACAAGCTGCCTGGAAATAAATTTAAGAATAAATTATGACTGTTAAACTAGATCACAATTGGTATTTATAAATATTTCTAATGCAATAGCCTCCTGATTACTGCCAAGAGTCAAAAACAGAGGGCAAACATTCTTCGTTACCTCAGAAGCAGGTTTAATGACCTTTTTGCCACAATAATACTTGACACCATGTCCTCCGCTGTGAATAAAAATCTTGAACAAAATTATGGGTGGAAATTCTGCTCCTCCAAATCTGCAAAAAAATCAGTGAAAAGGATGATGAAAGTCATTTCCAATAGAACTAATAGAATACATAAAAAAACTACATTGTTAGCAATCACAGATCAGACATTTGTTCTTCATGTTTGCTGGTAGAAGCAAGTTACACTTTGCAGAAGAGCTTCTTTACGTTAACCTGAAAAATCTGCTTTAAATATGCTTGCTAGGATATTAAACTGGTTAATTATCCAATGGCATTAATTGATTGGTTATCTTCTAAGAAAGTATCTTACTCAAAAAAAAAAAAAAAAAAGAAAGGTTGGAAAGGTCAGTGAGTCAACAATTTTTTCCCTAATTGCGTATAACATTCATTCTATATATTTTTCATAGTGTTTATTTATAGTGTAAATCTAAAATAATCTGAAATGCAAAACAATTAACAAAAAAAAAAAACACAATATTTCATAATACCTGAATCTCACTCGTGCTTGGATCACAGGATCACGCAGGAGATCTGCTTCTACCGGTGACACCTTTCTAAGCACTTCATACGTAAGAGAATGTTCCTGAAAAGAGAACATCGTGAATTTAACAAATGAAATCACCGGAAGCTAATATTTCCGTAATCGAACATGCATTACACATGACATAAGGAAAGCTTACTTTTTAAAAACTTACCGCCGCACATATTGCATATTTTAGCAACTTGAACATTTGCTTGTCCCGATAAGAACACCAGTATCGCTCGATCTTTCTTGCCGCTTCAATTATAGTTAACCTAAAAATCAGAGAATGAGTGGAACCTCTTTCCATAAAACTCTTTTCACAAAGCAGATCTGACCAAAACTGCCTTTCTGGTGAACAAGACCCTACCGTGAGCTCGCAGGAGCTTCATTGAGATTTTGTCCCATTTTCCTAAACAATTTGATACTTATAATGTACAGAATGTTCCCTGATATATATGAAATTCACCCGAAATATCTCTCATACATTCAACTTCGATCGGCCATGTTTTTATTTGACCCAGAATGCAGCTGGTTGCTATGGAAGCAGGTCACCCTTGGTAACACTAGCGGTCAGCTGAATCTTACTGTTCTGTCATGTATCAATAACAATGTGTAACTAATCGAAAACGAGTAGAAGATGGCGGCCAACATGGCTAGTCTTTTAGAACGCAAATTGTTTTGCAGATTTCTTGCCACTAACAGGTTTTTATCGACTTTCCCTTCAAATTTGTCTTTTATTACGTAGATTTTTTGCTTCTGGTATTAATTTTCTCGTTTTACAATGCCTAGTAGGAAGAAATTAGTTTGGACTTTTGGTTCTAACTATACCACGGGTAAGTTTTCTGAGATTTTGTAAGTTATGCCTTTACGGTCATTTCACAGTTTTGTGGATCTATAGAGAGAGTATTTTTTTTTTATCAGATATCAATCTTTTTGCGTACAAAATACATGGATCTAACAGGGTTTAAATAAATTGTGTCAACAATTAGTTACGATATTATGATTAAAATTGTAAGAAAAAGGAGCAGAAGTCTCGATTTAAACTTTTTACTCCCAGAGGTGATTAACATGTAACTTATCCTTATTATATCTGTACATTATCCAGCAAACATGTGGTGAGTATTACTCAAGCTCATGAGGCAGAAGTTGTTATCTTGATCGAATACCAAATTCTCGTAACTAATTTACAAAGAAATTTCTAGCAGCCAGTGGGGAGAATTCACATTCAGGATTTTAAAGTGATGGGTGAATTAGTTAAAAAGCTTGTGGTAGTTATGAACTTCACACAACTTCAAGTTTTCAAAGGTAGTTCAGAGTCACGAATTTCTGTGCCCCTTTTATGAAGGGTTGCGTATATACTGCCGCTGTACCTGGCATTTTGGCAGGTTCTTATCCACTTGATATTGAGAAACCATGAAGGAAGTTTCTAGTACTGGAAAAGATTAATGCGATGTAGATTCTACCAAAATTAATGTTTGTATTTTGGCAAACCTGATTTATAAGATTTGTATGGCATTGACTTAAAAAAAAATGCTCTCACAAGGGGTAGTAGGATTACAGGCTCCTCAGATCCTCCTTCATCCCCTAGTTACCCCACTGTGATTGGTGAGTTGATTACACATGCATGTCTTGTCCCCAGGTTCAAGAGCAATCAAGAAGGTTGTCATAGCTAACAGAGGTGAGATTGCCTGTCGGGTGATGAAAACAGCCAAGAAAATGGGAATAGGAACAGTTGCTGTGTACAGTGATGCAGATGAGAATTCCATGCATGTAGACACAGTAAGTAAATCATGGTAATTAATTAATAATTAATAATTAATTAATTAATTATTATTGATAATTAATTAGTTAAATGTAAAATCACTGTAAATGTATAAGTAAATCATGATAATTAGTTAAATGTAAAATCACTGTAAATATACAAGGAGATCTGTTTTGTATGGTCCATGAATGGAGTTGATTGTGTCAAGGTGGGAGTAATTGAATTGAATTGAAGATACTAACACTCTGTGTGTAGTTTATATTATTAATAAAAAGTTTTCTTTTGCAATTTATTTTACTGAATGTGCTGGTTACAGCCCAGGAGGGTGTCAGAAATTAGAATTAAAATAAATGTAGAAATGGGAAAAAAATTATTGTTATAGTTCTCCACAAGTTATAGCGAAGTAACTCTTATTATTATTTAGTTTATAATTGATTTAACTTTTAAAATTTCTCAACATTACTTTAGGCTGATGAAGCGTATCACATTGGAGCTGCTGCATCTCGAGAAAGTTATTTAAAAATGGAGAAGATCATAGAAGTTGCCATCAAAAGTGGAGCACAGGTATGATTCAAAACAATGTAATGCAGTTTGATTTTGCTGGGAGTATCACACGCTTAATGCAGAGTCTAGGTTCTAGCAGATATGCCACTACTGATGACTTTAATTTCTGGTATTTATGTTAACACCAGTGTTGTATCGTTCCTATTCAGGCTATTCATCCAGGCTATGGCTTTCTATCAGAGAAACCAGAATTTGCTGAGCTTTGCGAGAAAGAAGGTGTGATATTTATTGGACCACCAGCTTCAGCAATCAGAGATATGGGTATAAAGAGGTAACCAAAACATTCACATAAATAATAATTATAATTACTTGTAGGGCAATATTTCCTCCAATCTCACTCTGTCTTGCATTTTTATTGCAGTACATCAAAGGCAATCATGAGCAATGCTGGAGTGCCAATCATCGAGGGTTACCATGGTGATGACCAATCAGACGAGAGATTGAGACAGGAGGCAGAGAAAATAGGGTAAATGTATTTTATTTCCAATTAAGTGTGATTCTTTATTTATTTTTCTTCTAAGTTTGTCCTTCACTGCTCTTTTTTTTTTTTTAATCCAGATATCCTGTCATGCTAAAGGCTGTCAGAGGAGGAGGCGGAAAGGTCTGTTTGCTTGTTTACTATTGGAAAATACCAAAAATGTGACAGTTATTTTTCTATTTTAAATTGATTAAGTTCCTCGTAAGCATGATCACTTCTCCTTTAAAAACTCTGGATTAAATATATTTTCTGAAGCTCTGATCTTTGAATACTTTTTTCAGGGAATGAGAATTGTAATGAAGGCTGAAGATTTTGCTGATGCCCTTGAATCAGCCAGAAGGGAATCTTTAAAGTCCTTCAATGACGACAACATGTTAGTGGAGAAGTTTGTGGACACTCCCAGGTATCTGGTAGCACTTGAGCTGCACTTATGCTTTACTAACCCTGGATCACACCCTAACATTCAGTATGCATATTCTCCATACTGTTCTCAATACATTTCCTAAGGTGCTGACAAGGAGAATTTGTTCAGCAATCAAGAGCTTCTTTAGTTGGTGATCATTTCCTTTATTCTCCTGATCTTAAAGTGTGATTCAGGGGTGATATTGTAAGGAGAAATTAGATGCTGGTCACTGTTAGGAGTCAAAGTATTGATGAACACTTAATCGTATTTTTGTAATAAAACAATAAATAGTACAAAAACATGACTTATTCTTTGTTTGCACCAATTCTTTTTTTTTTTTGTCACTCACAAAATCCCACAGTTAAGTGATTCACCATGCTGTCTACCATACAGTTTTTATCATGTTAGTTTGGAGAATTTTGTATTAGATCTACCTAAAATCCCCTTATTGATATTTTGTCCTTAATTCTCATCACTTTTCTGTTTGTTATTGTATTGATATTGTAAGGAGAAATTCTGTCCTGGTCAGTTATGGAAGTTTAAGGGCTAAGAACAAAAGAAAACTCTTCCTCTGACTCTCCATTTACCTGTTTTACCTGTTTTTCCAGGCATGTAGAGGTTCAGGTATTTGCCGACACTTTTGGCAACACAGTGTACTTGTTTGAGAGAGACTGCAGTGTTCAAAGAAGACATCAGAAAATCATCGAAGAAGCTCCTGCCCCGGGAGTATCCTCTGAGGTGCGGCAGAAAATTGGTGAGGCAGCCGTCAGAGCAGCAGAGGCAGTAGGTTATGTTGGAGCAGGTACGATGTTTACCATTACCTTTCACCATTAACCCATCACT